TTTTTTTTTTTTTTTTTTTTTTTACAAGACTTGGGTTTGACTCAAAAGGTTGATAGCCACTCTATTGTTCTTGAAGACAAATGCCATTCCTTTTAAGTTATAAATCAGGATTTAGGTCCTATAGTTAAGCATGTCCTCACACCATCCCCTGTTTTTGGCCTCCATATAGACAGATGCATTGCACTGCTGCATGGAATTTTCCATCTCGACCAGCTGGCGGCATCCAATGGTTAACTTTTCCCTAGAGGATAAAGAAATGTTAAATCACTGCAAGACGGCTAGTCAGATAGATGAAAAAATCTTGACACGACAGGATAACATGGATTTGAAATACATTCTTTGATAGTTGAGAGATTAAAATACCAAGAGAGTTATAGTTTCTTAGCACAGACAAAACAACATGAGAAGATAAGCACACAGTAGTAGCACAGATTCTCAGACAGCCAACATGGCGAGCTTGGTGCAATTCCTAGAATTCAGGAGTAAGGGTTCCTATGGCAGACCTGCTGCCAACAAGCGCAGTCGGATGCCGAAAAATAGTCCTTGGAAACCAATTTGACAATAAACTTCATATATTGAAAAACAACAACAACAAAAAAACCAACAAAAAAAAAACTTTACTGATTAAAAAAAAAAAAAAAATAGTCCTTAGTATGGTCTCTGAAGGATTGTCCCAGCAGGAGATGGAGTGATGTTCCAGGGTTCTAATCCAAAGGGTAAAGCAGTGCTAGAGCCTAGATCACACATCTTTGTCTTATTTGGTTTGAGAATTAAAGAACAGGTAGCCTGGAGGATACTACGAGATGTAATGGAGCGGCAATGGGAAATTGACAGAGCTTCAACTTTCTATTTTATTTATTTTTATTATATATATATTTTCAGAGCTTCAACTCTTAAAAAGAACTGCTAAACTAACAAATGAATATTAACTAATTACTCTCAAGCAGCGATGGGACACAGGGAGTAATGGCTGACTCAAAATTTTACTTCAGACTAAGCCTAGCTGGTCTGTCATTAGCTGACTTGAGCTCACAAACCGTGGGATCTGTAAGTCATCAGAGCACCAATCCATTACATCTGGTGTCTAGGGTCATGCAAAACTATTTAAATCTACTGGGAGATGGTCTATAGACGCTCACGAAGAATATCCGGCATCTAGCAAGCATGTGGCACATTAGGTGTTTGAGAAAGGACAGGTTTTTAAGTGTAAATTACACTGTTATTACTTCCTTGGCTTCTAAGATCATCTCTGGGCCATCTCCATGGTGTTGGGGAGGACCACTAGCCACCTCCCTGCACTGTCCCCCTGCCCCATGGATCCTTTGATGTAGGATACAAAGGAAAAAGAAGTCAGCTGGAACTCAGGGATTAGGATGAGAGGTAGTAGGGATGGCACAAGTAAACACCCCATATTCTGAGCAGCCTCACTTCCTCAAGATGTGTGGTTTCTCTGACACTGACTAAAACCTGACTTTTGGTTTTGTGTTACTCTAGTCCTGTTTCCTATATTTACAGTGCTTAAAATTAGTGTTGTGTTGCTTTCAATTCTTCACAACTACTCAGAAGATGATTTCTGGAAGAGTCTAAGAGATCCCAAAAGAGGAGAGATGTAAATGTTTTCTCATAAACTTAAAAATGAAACAAAAATGGCAGGCCCCATTCCTGCTCTTGGTGATTTATTCCACATTTGGGGGGTGGGGGGAAACACTCCTTTAATAACTAGACTTTGAATCTAGTTGTGTCTCTTGTCTTCTTTCCCCTCCTCTCACAGTTAAGAGGTGAGCTGTCTCCTCTTCTGATCTTCATCTCTGTGGGTCAGCTTTCTGTGGATTATCACCTTACAGACTCTCTCTGCTGCAGTGAGCTGTCATTGCTTACTGAGAAAAGTACCATGTGTTTTTCCTATATTATGATAGGAATTCTTAAGTTCCTTTTCCCCAGGGCTTATGGAGAAGGGCAGAATAACAGATGTGGGGGCACCTTAACACCTTTCTGTGCCATTCTGCAGCATTTCTGTGAGTTATATCATGTTAGCTTTCACCAAGTTGTGACAATGCTCACAATCGTGAAAGGTAGCCCATTTCATATTTGCTCTTAATTTCTAGGAAGTTCTTCCTTTACACTAGGCCTTAAAAAATCTCCATTTTCTGACCTGAGTGGCCTAAGTTAAAAAAAAAAAAAAAGTCATTATCTAACAGCACAAATATTTTATGTCCCTTGCAGTGATCCTATTTCTCTTTTGCAAACTAAACAATCCCAACTCCTAATAGGTTCTGGAACAGAGATCAAGACTGGAGGTTGCTTCTAGTTTTGTGATTCTATATTGTTCATGAGATTTTTGCAAAACTTCTATTTCTCTAAATTGTCCTATCATAGTATCAAACTTGCTTTGACCAAATCTCAGGTCAAAATAAACTGGAAATTCAATCAAATCAATTTAAAAATATTTTCAGTGGTTATTTGATTCATTTCCATGTCTAATTTGGTCAAAACAGCATGGCAGTAGCGAACTTCAGTGATCTAATTACAATATTTGATGCAGTTTTTCTAAAATTCTTTCTAGGTACAAGAAGAAAGTCTATAATGGATATGTTTTACAGCTCTATGAACTTTTCTATTTATTTGCTGTATGTATCTCAAATGAAAGAAAAGTGGAATACAATGTAATGCTAATATAAAAACAGTACAGGGCCCGGGTGGCTCAGTCGGTTGAGCATGCAACTCTTGATTTCAGCTCCTGTCATGATCCCAGGATGGTGGGATCGAGTCACGTCAGGCTCTGTGCTAAGCATGGAGCCTGCTTAAGATTCTCTCTCGCTATCACTATCTCTCTCTCTCTCCCTCCCTCCCTTTGCTCCTTTACCCCGCTCTTGTGGATGCTCTAAAAAATAATAATAATAAAAACAAATAAAAACAGTATATGATAGCTAACCTCATATTCAATGGTGAAATACTAAAAGCTTTTCCCTAAAATCAGCAATAAGACAAGGACGCCCATGTTCACCACTTCTATTCAACACTGTACTGGAAGTTCTAGGAGCACAATTAGGCACAAAAACAAATCATAAGCATACAAACTGTAAACAAAGAAGTGAAATTCTCTATTTACAGATCCTAAAGAATCCACAAAATAACTGTTAGAATAAATTAATTCAGTAAAGTTGCAAAATAAAAGATCAACGCACAAAAAATCAGTTGTATTTCTATATACTAGAAATGAACAATTAGAAGAGGAAATGAGGGTGCCTGGGTGGCTCAGTTGGTTAAGCGTCAAACTCTTGATTTTGGCTCAGTTCATAATCTCACGGTCATGAGATCGAGCCCCATGTGGGGCTCTGTGCTGACAGTGTGGAATCTGCTTGGGATTCTCTCTCTCTGTCCCATTCTCCACCTCCCCTGCTTGCCTGCACTCTCTCAAAATAAAATAAACAAAATTTAAAAAGAAAAGGAAAGGAAATTAGGAAAACAATTCCATTTATAATAGCATGGAAAAGATTAAAATACTCAGAAATAAGTTTAATTGAAGAAGCACAAATTTGTATACTCTAAAAAACACAAAACATTGCCAAAAGAAATTAAAGACCTAAATTAGTGGCATCCCATGTTTATGGATTGGAGGACAATGATAATAACTCCCGAAAGCAATCTACATGGCCAATGCAATCCCTATCAAAGTCCCAATAATATTTTTTTTTTTTTGCAAAAACTGATCCTAATATTCACACAGAATTGCAAGGGACCCCAAATAGTCAAATCCTGAAAAAGAAAAACAATGTTCAGAGGACTCACTCTTCCTAATTTTGAAAACTCAATACAAAGCAACTTTAAGAAAAATTTTCTTTTAATGTTTATTTTTGAGAGAGAGAGAGAGAGACAGCGCGAGCAGGAGAGGGGTAGAGACAGAGGGAGACACAGAATCCGAAGCAGGCTCCAGGCTCTGAGCCATCTGCACAGAGCCCGACACAGGGCTCGAACTCACGAGCTGTGAGATCATGACCTGAGCTGAAGTCGGCCGTTCAACCAACTGAGCCACCCAGGCGCCCCATAAAGCAACTTTAATCAAAACAGTGGCACTGGCATAAAGACAGACATACAGACCATTGGAACAGAAATAAAGTCCAGAAATAAATCTCACCTACATGGTTGACTGATTTTCAACAAGGGTGCCAAGAACATTCAATGGGAAAAATGGCCTCTTCAACATTTGGTGCTAGCACAACTTGACATCCAGATGCAAATTAAGCCAGACCCTTACCTCACAACATATATAAAAATTAACTCAAAAATACATCAGTGACCTAACTGTAAGAGCTAAAACTATAAAATTCTAAGAAAAACACATTGGGGTAAATCTTCATGACCTTAGCTCTGGCAATGGATTCTTAGATATGATGCCAAAAGCCTAAGCAACAAAAGAAAAAACACATAAACTGGACTTCATCAAGTTAAAAACGTGTGTGTGTCAAAGGACGCTATCAAAAAAGTGAAAAGACAATGTACGGAATGGGAGAAAATAGTTGCAAATTATACATCTGATAGGGTCTAGTACTCAGAACGTGTGACATGTCAAGCTGCCAGGTGCCAAGGTGGTTAATGAGGACAATAAGCCAAACTGAAAGTAAAATCAACATTATTCACTTACTGCAACACTGCAAATCAGAGACAAAATTAAAGGTGCCAGCTCCCTAGTACTCATTTTTTCTCGTAGAATGGCACTGGGTGAGGGTCAGATGATACGCAGGGCAGACAGGGGCTATCATCTCACTGCTGCTAAGGATCCCTAAGCTAAGGCTCCTGCCTGTTCACGGACCCATGGGGCTAAGGGGCAGGGAGGGTGGTGGTCTCAGTTCATTCAGGCTGCTGTAACAAAACACCACAGACTGGGTGGTTTAGAGACAACAGAGATTTATTTCTCACAGTTCTGGTGGCTGGAAATCCAAGATCAAGGCACCAGTATGGTCACACTCTGGTGAGAGCCCTCTTTTAGAAGAGCATTAATCCTATTCATCAGGGCTCTACCCTCATGACCTAATCACCTCCCAAAGGCCCCACTTTCTAAGAAGATTACATTGGGCAATAGGATTTCAACATATGAATTTTAGGGAGTGGGGGGACATAAACATTCAAAACATAGCAAAGGAGAAGAGTGAGGAGTAGGAAAGCATGGAGTCAGAATGGGGAAAAATACCTCGGCCAAGGCTTCCAAAAGTCGCAGCTGAAGTGCCTGAGAGGTGCCTCAGC